AAAAACTCCGGTTGCAGGGTTATCGTGTAGACAGAGAAACCAGAGTTTTTGGCTTGTGACGTCGTAGCCTGCGCTGTTATCTCTGCCTACTGGAAACTTTTTCAGGCTTCTGATTGGCCAACATGGCTTTACGGTTGAGATTATATCGCCACCTGTTGGTTTGGCATGCTCTTGACAGTGCTTCATATCATGCGTTTGCGTTTTCATGTGGACGGAGATTTTTTTAAAAACGGAAGAAGGAAAAACTCCATATATAAAAATACCCGTGTACGTGTGGACATGGCCTGAGACTCCCTGACAGTACCTCCCCCTCCCGGAAGGCGTGTCCTCGCGCAAGTTGCAATCCACAAAGGGGGTGGGACGGTGGGCGCTCTGGAGGCCTCTAGGGACAGGCTTGTACGGGACTGGAGGCCTCCAGGGCGGTATCAGCTCAGGGGCTAGAGCCATCTCTCGACTCTGGTCAGGGGCTAGAGCCCACAGTCTTTTCCTCCTAATTCTCCTCTTTTGGGCTGAGGGGAAGGAGATTGTTGCTGTCATCATATGGCTTGGGAATGAATCGGCCGGCGGGCTTGAGAGTGGAGCGGCCGCTGGTTCTGGTCTGAGGACCGGAATGGTTCTGGGAGCTGGAAACAGAGGAAGGGAGGCAGATTTCAGCGCTGACCGAAAGATGCCTCCAGGGCGGTATCAGCTCAGGGGCCCATGGCGGAGCAGGCAGTTCAGGAGGCCATGGCGGAACAGGCAGTTCAGGGGGCCATGGCTGGACGGCCTCCGTGGCCTTGGTCCAGCCGCTATAGCCAGAGACGTATAGCCCCCCCCAACAAAATTATTGGGGGAGACTCCGGGTCCCCTGGCTGGGACCGGCTCTAGGCTGGGCTCAGAAGTCCACTCCGGGCTGCTTTCTGGAAAAGAAGCCCTCTCCTGGCTGGACTTGGGGACACAAGCCCTCTCTTGGGGCTGGACGTGGGAACCACAGCCTTCTCAGGGCTTGATGTGAGGGCAGGAGCCCTCTCTGGGCTGGAAGTGGAAACAGGAGCTCTCCCTGGGCTGGACATGGAAACAGGAGCCTACTCTGGGCTAGACCTGGGATCTGAGGCTCTCCCTGGGCCGGACGCGGGAATCGCAGTCCTCTCTGGGCTGGACATGAGAACAGGAGCCCTCTCTGGGCTGGACTCGGGAACAGAAGCCCTCTCTGGGCTGGACTCGGGAACGGGAGCCTGCTCTGGGCTTGACGTGGGAACAGGAGCCATCACTCGACTCTGGTCAGGGGCTAGAGCCATCTCACAACTCTGGTCAGGGGCTAGAGCCATCTCTCGACTCTGGTCAGGGGCTAGAGCCCACAGTCTTTTCCTCCTAATTCTCCTCTTTTGGGCTGAGGGGAAGGAGATTGTTGCTGTCATCATATGGCTTGGGAATGAATCGGCCGGCGGGCTTGAGAGTGGAGCGGCCGCTGGTTCTGGTCTGAGGACCGGAATGGTTCTGGGAGCTGGAAACAGAGGAAGGGAGGCAGATTTCAGCGCTGACCGAAAGATGTTAATCCTAGGTCCGCAACCCCCAGGTCAGCGCTGTTGGAAACCCACTTACGGGCTCGGGGAAACACAGAAGGATATGGGTGGTCGGAGCCATTGGCCAGGCATGTGGAGGGATTGATGGCAGATTCGGGAATTTCTTTCAATGAAACAGGCTCAGGAACACTACTCACTGGAACGGACTTGGAGTGCTTCCTCTACAGTATACGATGATCCACACAACCACAGAATATCGATATATTTTTGCAACGAACATGTGGTTGCACCCGCTGGAACTTGTTGATACAGGTGATCATCCAAGCCGCACCAGAAAACGTGTCTTTAGTGTGTCATTATTCCAGGACACTTGATGTGAGAGCTCGAGGAACTACTCTAAGTAGTCCTCAATCGTACGGCCATCTTGGAAGAGAGTGAGAAGAAGGTCTGCTGGGTTGTGAGGGGTGAGGTGAATGCCCATGTTGTAAGGCAAATTTTGTGGGTCTGGTCTTCTGTCAGCAAACGGGCCAGAAACACAAAGGTAAGTTCTCACAACAACAGGTTTATTGACAAATGGGCAGCAGGATGAAAGGCAACAGTCTGAGGGTGAGTAATTCGAGGAAGTAAAGGAATTCAAGTCTCTTAGCTGAGGGTAATAGAAGATTGTCTCTTGCAGGTGATCTGATGGAGCGAAGTAGCGGTGGAGAACGGGAGCAAAGGAGCATCTAGGGGTAAGTAAACGCAGGTATGTAGTCAGCCTTAGCAATGCTATGCAAACTTTAGACCAGACGATGAGGCTGTGGGGATAGTGCAGTGATATAGGGAGCCTAACGAGCTGAGACAGGTGCGGGCAATAAGAATTCAGGTGATTGGGATCTGGTGTGCACTGGGGCTGATGACTGTGGTGACTGAGGCTGCGTTTACACTTGGCATTAACATGCGATCACCGTGATCTGATCAAGCAGATCGGATCATCAGTCAGTCAGGACACGGCACGTTTACACTTGGCAACATCAGCTGACTTCTCGATCTGGATAACCGATCGGATCTGTATTTCCCACGCAATATTTAAATAAGTCTGCGGTGCAAAGTCGTCCTGAAGTGGTGGGTTTTCTTTTGAAAACTATTTTCAGTCGCGGGACATTTTACAAATCAAAATAAATGTATGAGTCTCACTAGCGCTCAGTTCTTCTGACAGTTTGGGAGAGAGGGGGCGGCGTTTTGCGTGATGTCGACCTTCGAATGCAGACACGATGGCTGGATTGCGTTTACATTACACTGAGATCCGATCACAATGCGTCCTCGACTACCTCTGGAGCAGGACACGCTGATCGGATAACATTCCAATCAGAAGCGAGTTTACACTTGTCTTTTCAATGTGTATGTGGACAACATCCGGATACAGGTCGCATGTTAATGCCAAGTGTAAACGCAGCCTGAGACTCCCTGACTATTATGTTATGTTATGTTATGTTATGTTATGTGTTATATTTAATACAGAATATGTGTATTGCATATTTGTTTTTATACATCAAGCAAATTTCAGCTGAACTTGAGAGCCAGTGAATGCCATTTTTATTGTATGAAAAAGAGCCAAATTGACATTTTTTTTATAACAATTCATCCTTTAGAATTTCACAGGGAATTACCAAGTTTACACATTTCTGGCCACTGAGCTTTAGCCAAACATTTTTTAACTATGATAATCAAGCAACTTCATTATCAGAGAAATAAATATATGTGCATGACCTTTCAAGATGTTTGCAATAAGAAAGATGTCACAAGAGATAAGTACATTGTGCTGCATCTCCTTATCAGCACAGAGAGAACCCTGGGTGAGAACACACTTGTATTAATGTAGTGGGTTGGAATGTCTCTAAAGTGATATTCTTCCACCTACACACATTCACACCTTCATCAGAACAGCAATATCTCCCCTCATGGCCATGCTGCTTAGCCATGCCTGAGCAAATGTATCGGTGTGAGTGGGTGTTTTTCTGGATTACCCTGAAGGATGAAGAGAAAGAGAGAGAGTAGAACCGAGAGAACACCCAGGAAGAGGTCCAAGGCTTCTTTGTACGTTTTTGAGCATTGGTACGCAAGTGATCAAAAATAGCTCACTAAGTAAGGAGCATCTGACTCATTTTGTGTGCAGTAAAATCTCCTGACACCTCCGTGCTGTATCAGATGGCCAACCTGATGCTGCATGCATATCCATATCATCTTACGAAACACAGTTTACAGTGAAGATGTTACATTTTTTCTGCTTACTCCATGTTATCTATCCATGTTTGTGTTCTTGCCTTGGTGTTGAGGCAGTGCTGTCTGTTGTGAATGAGTGTTGGTGATAGCAGTGGAGCGATTCGTCATGGTGTGGACTGTGGGCTCTGGGGACTGAAGAGCATGAAGGCAGCACACAGGGGAGTAATAAAGCTACACCTCTACAAACATGGCTGTCCATAAATGTAATATTGGTCCAAAGTGATGTTGTTTGGAAATAGCTTATACTATATTCATGCTACTGTACATAATCAATACATGAAATGAATATATGTAATATATATATTTATTTATTTCCGTCTAACAACAAATGGGCCAAATACAATTTTAAGTATATATAATATTTGCTTAAGCTATGTATTGCATTGTTAGCTTAGCAACATGCTAACAGCAAACTATTGCCATCAATTATGAGTCATGTCTCCTGTGTGGTTTGTGTGAGGAGCCCTATTTATATGACGCACAGAGTTACTGCCTATATAGTGCACTCCAAATCTGTCACTTATGAGCTTTCATTTCAGTTAGGATGCTGCCTTAGAAGAAGACAGCTAGGCAGCTTATTAGGTTTGGGAACACAGTTTATATGTACCGTATCAATTAAAAATTAGACTGATAGCAGATTTGTGAAGTGCATATTTTTCTCTCCAGCAAATTTAATGTCATCACAATGCTGTATTCACAAAATTCGCTCACCCTGTAAGAGCTTGTAAGAAATGGCAGCTATTCAGGTGATCTCAGGGACTGTTGCTAGGTGGTGATGTCATTCTTAGCAGCACAGCGTGTACTTGAATCAGGTCATGCAGCTCCGCTCTTTCAAGTATCTCAAGCCTTTGTCTTCCTGAATAATTTATAATGTCTCAATGACTGTGGTCAGTCCACATTTGTAACCAAAAGACCAAGCGTGTCCAGAGAAGATAAAGGACACTTGGGTGAGAAAAAGAAAACCTCCCTGGCCTTTGGTTTTTGTTTGGTGTGGTTTGGTTTGGTGGTTTGTACAGACAGACAGTGGTGTGGATGTCAATACTAATGAGAAGAAGCATAGTTGCGAAAGAAAATAATTATCCTGAGTGCGGTGAAGTGGAGCTTGTGCACGACAACAAAACCGTTGAAGAAGTGAAAAATGATGTTCAAGATGAAAGAGTGCATGTCCCAAAGCTGATTAGCTCACATGTTTGATTCACATAAACAACCTTTCTCTTTCTCTCTCGCATCTCACAGGTTGAGGATCAGGGGTTATGGAGTCTCTCTTCGGGGGCCAGTTGGGCTTGCTGGGGGGTAACGAGGGTCTTAAAGAAGATGGCTGTGGGGTGGGCTGGTCAAACTCTCCCTTATCAGAAGACATGTACTCTGCCTCCCACTTCGCCCTCATCAGCGCCTACCAGGACATTAAGACCCGTCTGGCCGGCCTCGAGCGAGAAAATGCAGACATCAAAAGAAAACTCAAGATTTACGAGATAAAGGTACAAAACACCCTAAGGATCCTTTAGTCTCAGATACTGCAACAGATATCAGCGGTCAGTGGCGTGACTACTGGCAGTGTGGGTAGATTTCAGTTCACTGAAAAAAAGAAATTGGTGTAGGATTTACTCTTTCACTCAGAAAAGTAAAATTGCAGTAAATTAAAAAAAGAAAAAGAAAAATGTAAAAAGAAATGGCAAGTAGCACATTTAATTAAATGTGTTTTTAAGTAGAAAGATTGAAATACTGTAATATTCCAATACTCCAATAATTCAACAACTTAAAAAAAAAATCCGTTTTTTTTACATGTACTGTTGTACAATATATCTGTCACAGTTTGCTGTTTAGGAAGCACGCAAGAGGCACAAATAAACGACAACAGTCTTTAATCCACAGAACACAGCGTACAGCCACACTGGAAATGGCAGTAAACACACAAACATAACGAGTAGCACGCAAAGGCAAAGACTTAAATACTGGGGATAATTAACAAACACAGGTGCCAGGAATCATAATTAAACTAAACGAGGACAGGAAATAGACCATATAAGGAAAACCAGGAACAAAGACAGGGGCAAAACACGACAAAACAGGTCCATTGTACTGACAATATCTTTATTCACCCTTTATACTGTACAATATATCTTTATATGTTTAATGATTAAAACACTAAAAGTGTCTAACATTACTCTTCTTCACTGTCTCTTCTATAGCTAATTTATTTCATACTTTATGAATATATCATCCATGGAGGCCACATATTCTAAAATCATTAAATTATACATTGGGGTCCAAATTTCTATAAAGCATTTTTTTCTATAGCATAACCTCTCCCAAGATTCCACAGGAAAAAGGTTCAGTGTCGCTCTAGCTGTCTTAATGAGTTAACCAATAAATAATGATCAAGATAATGTTCACCTCATGCATATACGTCTCCAACCACCGTCTTTTATGAACGTGTTTAAATTTCGCTGGTGGGGATTGTGGGAAAGGCAGTTTAGACTATTTTAACGATGTCCTTACTACCTTTCTGGGATTTGAACGTGGTAGTTGCATTGCTGTCTATGCGGGGTCAGAAAGCTCTCAGATTTCATCAAAAATATCTTAATATGTGTGCCGAAGATAAACGAAGGTCTTACGGGTTTGGAACGACATGAGGGTGAGTAATTAATGATAGAATTTTCATTTTGGGTGAACTATTCCTTTAAAGACCATTTGTGAAAATGCTATAAAATTCCCCAGCAATTATTTTATATGACCGCAGCACTTTTTACCAGTTTGTGTAAAGCCTGATGATCATGTTATCCAGCTTGATTTGAGAATGATCCACAAAGCATCTTGTGCTTCAGTGGAAGCACGAAGAACTTTTGATTAGTGACCTAGAAATAGTGCAGAATCTTAAATTACTATTATGTAACTTTCCTTGTTTAAAACTGTCAGCTTATTTCCAGGTTTAAATGAAAAACATAATGATTTTCAATGTGGTCTTGTAGACTTGTAGATAAAATAGTCTGCTAAACATAATTAAGCTTATTAAAATATCAAAATGACTAATTTTCAAATGCCGCAACCTATTAAACTAACCTGTAGTTTTTAGTATACCAGTGTAGGCTAGTAGGCTAGCTAGTGTCATATATATATGACATAATTATCCAGTTAAAAAATGTGTAGACATCCTTGTTAGCCCCGAACCCTTTCTCCTGCTCCTCGCTGCCTCATCTCACATTAATGCAGAGACAGTGACACGGTCACAGACATACTATATAGGGCATTTAATTAGAGTAGAGCAGAGTGGACGCACATAGCGAGCAATAATATGGATATCTAGCACACAGCAAAGAATTGCACTAAGAGCATAAAGCAATAATTAAACTAACCACTCCCTGTGTCGAGCAACCCTAGTTCAATAGATCTGGGGTGCATTTCCCAAAAGCATCATTAGACAACTATGATTGCAAGTTCCATTGACCTCTATTGGTAACAACAGAACGTATGACCATAGTTGCTTTTGGGAAATGCACCCCAGAAAGACTAAGTCAAACTACGTTTCTGATAGGTCTTTAAAGGGGTCATATGAAGCTTTTTTAAAGATCATTATTTTGTGTATTTGGTGTAACAAAATATGTTGACATGCTTTAATGTTCAAAAAACACATTATTTTTCAAATACTGTACATTATTGTAGGTCCTCTATGCCCCGCCTCTCTCAAACGCTTCATTTTCTACAAAGTCCCTCCTTCCGACAAGCGCAGTCTGCTCTGATTGGCCAACTGACCCAGTGCATTGTGATTGGCCAAACACCGCAAGCACTCGTCGGAAATGTAACACCCCTTACCATAATCGCCAGCTTCATCTTTCAAAATAAATGTAAAGACAGTAAATAATGTCATTAGTTTTACCATCAGTTCAAGCCCGAAAGAGGAACAGAGTCGCGTGACAGACACAGTGACGAAGCTGGTATGTGTTTGCAGTACACAAGCCACGGTTAAGACAGCTGACGCCACTGTGATGTGACCCTGTCTCTCTCTCTCTCACACACACACAATCTTTTCTGCAATTTTGCCATTAAGTGGCAGTAATTGTAATTGTAATGGATTATGTCAGGTTTGCTGCTTTTCCCTTTTGCTCCTTTTCTTTAAATTTATCTACCATAACTTTCACACCCGTTCCTCCTGCAACAGCTGCTCCTCCTGCCATTAAAGCAGCAGGCAATACCACTCCCCCTGTAAAAACCATTGCTGCACCTCCAGCTACTGCTCCTGCCACACCTGCTCCCACTAAGGCCACATGTTTTACCTTGTGTATAATCTTCCTTCTTTCAGCCTCCCTTATCTTTTTCTCCTCTTCCAATCTCAGTTTCTCTTCTTCCTCTCTCTGCCTCTTCTCTTCTTCCTCAATTTTTCTCTGAGTTTCTCTGTACATCTCATTTGTGTAATGCTCTCCTCCATTCTCCATCACCATTCTGTCTATCTTCTCCAGCAGTTCAGTGACCTGTGATCGATTGTTTCCATCTGTATTATCGAACACATGATACCTGCCTTTACACTGACTAACTAGCTCATTAATCTGCTTATTTTCTGCCAGAAACTGCTTTATAGGTTTATCTAATTGATCTCCTCTAGTGAACAGAATGATGGTGTAACGTGCAGCTTCTTCTCCAAAGTTTTCCTGAATCCATTTCACGGTGTTTTTCTCCTCATCTGTGAATCTCACGTCCAGTCTGAGGACCAGAAGAAACGCATGAGGACCAGGAACAGACATCTCCACACACTTCTCAATCTCTTTCTTCAGTTGTTCTTCACTGATTGATGTATCAAACAGTCCTGGAGTGTCGATCACTGAGATGTTTCTACCATCTACTGTCTGCTGATGTTGTTGGCATTTCTTAGTCACAGATTCAGTAGATAATTCTTCTTTAAATGTTTTTTGTCTCTGGATGGTGTTTCCTGTCGCACTCTTTCCAGCTCCAGTTTTACCCACCATTAAGATCCTGAGATCTCTGCAGTCGCCAGATT